TTCCTTACAATATTTTGGTGATCATCTTTGATTTTTACAACTTTTAAAGGTTAAACTTATGAGCTAGTTGTTAAACTTATGAGTTAGTTGTTAAGCTTACCAGTTTGTAGTTGAACTTCCGAGTTAAATGCTAAACTTATAAGATAGTTGTCAAGTTTATAAGTTAGTTGTTAAACTTATAGTTGCTTGTTAAAGTTCTAAGTTATAGATGTTAAACTTATTAGTTAGTTGCTAAACTTATAAGATAGTTGTTAAATAAATAAGTAAAGATATCTAGATCCATGCCCAAACTTTTGAATATACGCCTATCTATCATTATTGAAATTGTTTTAACCATTATATTAATGAAATTGAAGTTAATTTTGGACAATTTCGAGATATAATTGTAGGCATCAAAAAATGCTAATAGATATTCAAACATAGGGAAAATCACTCAAATCGACAGATATGAATTGTCTCGCCAGCGAGACAGACTACTGGTCATCGGCGCGAGACAGTATTTGCTGTCGCCAGCGGAGACAGTTATGGCTGTCATCGCCATCATCGCACCCCCCCCCCGAGACAGTGTTTGCTGTCTCGAGCTAGCGAGAAGCAGATGTTGAAATGGGTCAAAACTCATCGATAAACTGATCCTAACACGTGTCCATCAACTGGGCCAAGGGACGTGGAAACACTCGTGGGCAGAAAATCACGTGAATAACGCCAAAAATAACGAGAGTTTGAACGTGGGGAAGGCAGTTAAAACGAAAATCTGCCTACCGGTTACCTGTTTTCCGAGACAAGTATTACTGTCTCGCGGGTCGAGACAGCAAACGCTGTCTCGCCCAGCGAGACAGTAAACACTGTCTCGCCAGTCTGATTTCATCGTTTGTTGAGTTTTTTCAGTTATGAACTCCAGAGGCTATAAATACCCCCCTAGGGTCATTTCTGACGAGGATCGAGCATATTTTTGAGCATTCCAGAGCAGAGAGAGCAGATTTGAGTTTTCATATAACGCCTTGAAATTAAGCTTTGACTTGATTTTAAGAAGAACGACTATCTTACTTCGATAAGATATCGTTTCAATTTCTCACTTCGATAAACGAAGTCAGAATCAGTAAATCCCCTCTTCACGATCTGTGATTCGACGGTCCACGAACCAAAGCGTTCCCGGCACAGGCAAAGTCCCACAAAAAACAGGATTCGATAAACGACTTCTGTGTTATTTTCCAAGAGAGTTGTAATTTGCTTATTTTTTGTTGTAATTCGCTATAAACAAATTAAGTTTCAATGGAATCTACAATGAAAATAACTTTCGACGAAAACAAACTGGCGACCACAGTGGGAGCCAGTGGCCTCGCTGCCGAGGCCGCGGTGTTGCAACCGATCAAGATCGTTGTCAATGAAGAGATCGAATATGAATTCGATCAAGCAAAGTTTGAGGATTATTTATCCTCCTCATCTGCGAAATCTTCCTCGTCTCGCAAATATAGGAAGATTTCACCTTTCAAGAAAACTTTCAAGTCTGCGATTCCAACGGAGACCGCAGGCGAAGATTCCTGCCCGACTGCTGCTAAGGAATCTCCTTGCGACATCCCTGCTCAAAACGACTCTACACCCGTTACGGAGTCGTTGATCAATAGCTCACCGGTGCTGACGAAGAGAGCTCGTCAGAGACAACGCCAGCGCCGTGCTCGTCAATTGGCTAAGGCCATGCAACAAACCGACGGGGTCCATTATTATGCGGACCTAGAGTCGAGGAAACAGAAAATGACTCAGTTGCCTCAACGGCAAGATAATCATATTTCTGCACAACTTACGACGGAGGAGTGGACTCTCGTCAAAAGGGCCCGTTCAACCCTTAAGGAACGGATACAAAGGCGTAAAGTGAAGGCCGCCCGTGCTCGCGCTCTTCGTCAACAAGCACAAGAAACCAAGAAGGAGACGGTGTCTGAAAAACCATCGAAGAACCGTAGAGTTTTGATGCCGAAGACGCCGTAAACATCTTTTCCGGGCCCGTCTACTGCATCATCGGTGAAACCCTGGGTTAGCCCAGATTTGTCTAAGTTTAAGATCACCATGGCAGATCGCCTCGGTCCTTCGGCTGACGATCGAGGCAAAGCCCCAGTTAAAGAACCGTCAGAACCTGTAAATAAACCAGTAGTGGTTTCATATACAGGGGGTCGTAAACACCCTCCTGTCAGAACTGCACAAATCCGGAACGAGAAAATATCAGTTCACTCTCGTTTAGGACCTATGAAAACCCCACTCCCGCAAAGGGGTGGGTTTAAAAATTCAACTTTGGATCACCCAGAGGCAACGACCAATCGTCCTGTGCATGTTAACAAAGTTCAAAGGCAAAAGATAGGTTGCTCGAATCACAATAATGATGAGATGTACTATCAGAAAGATAACTCAAGAAAAAGGGTTGTCAGAGAAAACGAGTCTCATTGCGCTTGCGAGAGACTCATTAAAGCAGTGTTGACAGAATGCGGATGCTCTAAGAATAATTCAACAAGAGTCTCCGTATTTCAAAGATTGTCCAATGAAGCGTCAAGACCCAAAACAAGACGTTTTAACAAAAAGAAACCTGTAATCCGACAAGATGAGTTCCCTGAGGTCACTATCAACATGACCAATAAAGGAAAGCAAAAGTCAGTTAACTACGACCCTGATTTCTCTCCGGGAGGGAGAGTTGAGCGGGGTCTCTCTCAAAGAATGTCGCGGTTACAAAGAAGAGCCAACCTACGTCGAGATTACAAGAGAATGCATGAGGGGCTCTCTTCAGATGAAGAAATGTTGGATACTTGTTCCGTCATTACATCAGACGATACCGCGTCCAGTGTTGGGCAAGTCAGAGAATCATTTGCAATCACGCCGGATCAACTGGCTCATATCCTGCAGGAGGCTTTGGCTAAACAACGCGAAGAAATTAGAGCTGAGTTCAAAACCGAAATGGAGTTGACTATGCAGTAGATGCGAGACTTGCAGGTTCAGCAACATCAACCGGAATCGAGCCAGAAGGCGGAATCCAGTCGACGTAATGAAGAGGATGATACTATCTTTGACGATCCTCCTCCAGATAAAGACAACTCCGGAAACGGTCCGACCAAGTCATCCACTCAACCTCCACAGATCTACTTGAAGAAAAGCGAGGAAGAGGACAAGAAGATGCATGATCTCGAGAGCAAAGTCAACGCTCTGATGACGGCTCAAGAAGTGAAGAAAACGGGCATTCCATACCCGTACCCGAGGGAATGGGATCTGATTCCTTATCCCCAGAAATTTAATTTGATTAACTTTACTCCTTTTGATGGCAGGGGTTCACCAACTCAGCACTTGATCTATTTCAAGTCGCATCTCGGCGCAATATCCGGGAATGAAGCCCTGATGGTCCGGTCATTCGTAGGAACCCTTCGTGGGCCTGCCTTCGATTGGTACCGACGTCTTAAGCCCGGGAGTATCACTAGCTGGGAGGATATGGAAGAATTATTCCTCACCAATTTCTTCGACGACGACACAGAGGTCTCAATTGGCACATTGTTGGATGAGAAGCAGAAAGATGGGGAATCGGTCGATGTTTTTGTCAAACGATTCCGGGACAAAGTGGTGAACTGCAGAGATCCACTCACAGAGGAATTTATCCTGCAAACATGTCATAATAACCTATCCTTGGA